GCTCATTAGGAGGAAGAATGAGGATGAGAGAAGACAGGAGAAAAGAAATTACAGAAATACCAGTAATCACCGGAAGATCCTGGAATAGGGCAAATGCCAGACATTTTCAAGAGTAGAAGAAATCTGAGTTGAGTTAAAAAAATTAAAAAAAAAATTCTTTGGGCAGAAGTAAGTTTGTGTGCAAAGAGTGTAAAGCAGAAATACTGCCTTATTAATACATACGGTGGGACCTGCTGGGACAGACGGAAAACATGGTCCTAACAGCTAATGACAACAGACACCTAATCCTTCCATAAGGTTTGGAACATTAAACACTTTTTTTTTCTTTCAAAAGTACTTAAAGAGGAGAGAGAGGAGGAAAAGATAATGATTAGGAAGAATATCTCATACATTATTTACTATTATCAGAAGGGAAGTCAAATTCAATAAAGTACAGATTGATTTATCAAAGAAAATCTTGCACAGGGATTAATACAATAAATAAAAATTTCAGTAAAATTTTGCCCTAGCATTTATTTTAAAACTATATTTCAAAAATGTTAGTGGGAGTTATGGCTAATTTTTGTCAAATGTAAGAACTAATAATGCTAAGGTTTTGTGTTCTTAGATTGTCACTTAGTACTTATGATTTTAAGATTAGCCCCTGAGAAACTACTCATTTACTTTTGGTATTTAGTGATCTTTTAGGATGTGAACCTGTCAACTGGGTCCTCTCTAATGACCATAGAAAGTGTTATGGCCATCAGTCAATGATTATTTTTGAAGGAATGGGAGAAATGCTATTATTCTATGTTATACATATTACATCATAAGCAGAGTGAATAATAGTAAATATATTAAAGAGAAAATACAGAACTTAATAGCATAAATTTTAATGATAAAAATTATTTAAGGAAGTACTTTCTCATTAATAATCATAATTGTTTTGATTATATAATAATCAAATTATTAGTTTCACTACTTTGTTATCAATTTCTTGTAAAACATCTAGAATGTAGAAATGTTGATTAGAATGGCTTTGGATTTAACTAAGCTTAAAAAATATTAATAAAAGAAAACCCTTTTGGCTTTGGTGGGAATGTTAGGACTCTAGGATCTGATGGCAAAGTGGCCTCAAAGGCCCATATGTGGCTTCTCTCATCTGCACATTGTTTCTCAGCGTCAAGCACAGGCATCTTCCTTCCGTTCCATCAGACCTGTCCTCCTGGTTCTTGTCGTACCTCTCTGTTTCATGCAGTAGAAACAGTGGATAACCACAATCCTTTTACACTAAACAAAACAAAACTGTCCTCAAGCAATTGTGTTTTAAATTTTTGAGCAAAATCTCACCTCTTATGCTCTCTTACTAGATGGGTCTTTATGTGCACATGGCTTCCTCTCTCCACCTCGCCTCCAATGGCAGGGTGAGCCAGCGGTTTAAAAAAAAGACTCCGTTGTGGGTATCAGGTGTTTCAGATTGACAGATATTCAAAACTCATTTCCAAAAGAGCTCATAGGCTTATGATATTTCAGACCAAATATTAAGTAGAATTGAGGAGTGTGCCTTTTAGATTTACAGTGATTTCGCCTTGCCTGTCGAATAAGCTCGTATTGGTGGTACTTGCATGGAACTTGACTTCTAAACCTTGCCCATGTGTTCTGAGAAAAAAGGTCGTAGTTCAACTCTAAAACATGCAGCACATCAGAGGTAGAGAAGGTCTACATATTTCTCCTGCCTGCTTTAATTCGAACCAAAAAAAATGGTCCCAGTGTATAGACTTCTAGGGAAATAGATGGGAAACCTGTGCATGAATTGTTTAAAGAAGGTATGGAGTGAAACTTCGGGTTTGAAGAGGAAAAAGGTAGGCCCGCGGCAGGATGGGCCAGATGATATGTGGGGCCCAGTACAAAGTAAGAATGCAGGGTCATTTGTTCAAAACTTAAGAATATCAATGCGGTGACAACAGAACATTCAACCAAGCGTGTGTCCCCTCAGAGCCCCAGGCCCTGTGCGACTACCGCACAGGTCACACTCACAAAGTCTGCCCCGGCGAGAAGTTGAAATGAGAATAAAAGGAAAAGGAATGATCTATTTTCCCATGTTTCCTTCCCTTTTTCTTTTTCTTTTTTTTTTTAGGGGATTTTCCTTCCCACTTTCTCTCCCACTCTCTCCTATGTCCTCTTCAGAGGTGACTGTCTCCCAAGGGGGCACTGTTGTACCAGTGATTCAAGGGGTGACACCTGAACTCTAGTCCAAGGGGGAGGGACACCAGAAAGGGGTTGTATCACACCAGTGATGGGGTCGGGGTGGGGGCTGAGGGATTTCTGAACAGGCCGCGGGCAGAGAGCATCACTGGGGAACTGCAAACTTCTCAGCAGTGACGAAAGCTACTTATCTTCTCTGAATCTAATCTTTCATTGCTGTCCACCAGTGATAGCTGCCTTGCAGGGTTATTGTATGGATTAGAGATAATGTGGAAAATACCTCCCAGTGGCTGGTATGGAACGGGAGCTCATAGAATGAGAGCTCATATATAGTCATTTTCTTTTTGTGAGTGAAGAGATGTATTCACTGAGAATGGATAGAAAGACCTCACGTCTCAGAAGGACTGGAGGATCTCAAAAATGCTTGAAGAGCCCTGTAGGAGCTGGCTGCCTCTCTGCGTCCATCCTCAGTTCCCCAGTGCTTTGGAATGGTTTAAAACGCAGGACCGCATCTTCTTCCCAAACAGGATAAGGAACAATCTGCGGGAAGTCGGCACACAGCAGAGTTCAGTCTCCAGCACTGAAAACTTGCCAGCTCTCACCCACACTGCGCAGATGAGAAAGCAGCTGTGGACAGACCCTTGGAGTAAGAGCCGTGGGGTCACTGGCGTGCATTAGGCTCAAAAGCACCGCATTGTTCACCCTGGGATTTTGTAGTTTGTCTATTTTATCCAGCTACGTTTCCATGACACACAGAGGACATAGCCAAACCATTGAATGTACTTTTACCTCTTTGTTTTGATTTATTATTTGTTGTTTACAGTATTATCTCCAATAACAACAATGGAATTTCCTTCCCTACTAATCTGGCCTGTTTCCATTTTGCCTGTTCGTTTTTACTTATTTATATATTTTTGGACGGAAACCTCGGAGCCTCAGCGTGACTCTGCTGTGTTTATTTCCTTGCATGTTTGTGTCAGCATCATTTATTAGAAAGTCCACTCAGAAGAACTTTGCTCATTAATTATAAAGTCTCTGTTTCCTGGGTCCTCGGGGGAGTGTAGTAGGGACTCCAACTTTCTTCATACTGAGAATCAGTTCTGGTCAGCAGCTTCCTCATCATTGCTCTGCAAGCAGATGACTTGCTCTCCGCAGCTTACAGAGGAAAGGAACACGTGAGGCCGAGAAGTAACTCCTCAGCACTTAAATGCTCTGACTTACCCGCCCTGCTCAACCTAGCAATGCTGATTTCCATTTCCTTTTATTTAGCAGTAAGTTGTGTGAGCAAACGCCTGCTTTTTTGCAGACGTGCTCAATTCCTTGAGCACATGTCCCTGAAACCTAGTCTGTTGTTAACTAATGAGCAATTGCAGCTTGCAGTATTTGCTGCTTAGTAGTGTGTGATGAATGCTGGACTCGGCTCTTTCTTAGGAAGAGCTCACAGCCCACAAAGTCAATAAAAAAGGTAAAGAGAAGAGGTAACTTGATGTATGAATCTTATTTGATAATATTACATTCTGCCACCTCATTGTCACTGCCTTCTCATGATTTAATGAATTAACCAATTCATCATTTATTTAGTCCTTACTCTGTATAGGACGTCACGTTTAGTGTCAAGATACTTAAAAGACCAGACTGTGGAAATCGAGCTGAGAGGAAATAAATCTAATAAAGGGTTGTAGGTGACGTGATGAAAATCTGTCCAGAGTTTATATAGGGATAAATGAAGGAGGAGCCTTCATTCTCTTTGAAGTGGGGTGGAGGGCAGGCGTCACAAACGAAGGCGAAAGGTACTGGATGTATTTGAGATCCGTAAGTGCTTTTAAAGGCTGAAACAGAGCGGCTGAGCAGGCAGGACAGCTTGAGGGGAGGGGTGAGGTGAGGAAGCCAGACACGTGGCTGTGGCTGTCACACTACAGACTGTGGATTTTATCTTCTGGGGAAAGTTTCAGGCGGGTGAAACATCGATATGAGATTTGCTTTTTAGAAAAATCACCCAGAGAAGGGTAGATTCGCAGGGACCAGAGTGGAGGCAAGGAGAGTCCTTCAGAGAGTGCAGTGCAGAGCTCGCATGATGCGATTCTGAATAAGCCCGTGGCTCATGGAAAGGGCAGGGAAGCGGGCTTTATGGCATAGATATCAATTTTTAAATATCGTCTTTACAGCCACTGCTGATGAAACTGGAGCTCAGAAAGTAACACAGCCAATAAATAGCAACGAGAACCTTTCTCTGCCTCCATTGCAGTTAGGCGGTGTGATCATTGTGGCATTTCGCGCACTGCAATCGCCTGTTTACAGCCCTAACCCCTCCTGCCCTGAGACAGAAACTTCTTAAGGTCAAGAACCGAACCACTGAATTACTTGTCCAAGCCCAGCGTGGAGTCTGGTATAGGCAAGCGCTCCGTAGTTGTTTGGTGCCGTGGCCAGTGCTTCTCCCGTGTGCACTGCATGGCGTGTAAGTGCGAAAACGCCCCGCAAGCCTGTCTTACACCCACCCATTTCCATCTCCCCGCCTGAGGGGCCAGGGCAAAAGGACTGGCAGGTACAATAGGCAGAGGATGCGTTTCACTTTGCTTTAAAATTTATATCACTTCCTCCGTCACCAAAACGTGCCCTCTACCTCCAGGAACCTCTATTAAAATGCCAATAACAAATATTTAAAATGTAAAAAGTGACCATAAAAGTTGATGCTTCTGTGAGACTGCCTCCACTGGTCTCATTATTTATTCACAAATCAAACATGATAATTTGCTTTCATATCTCTTTCTAGGTTACTTGATGTTTTCTCCTGGATCTCACTTTATTCTTCTACACAGGTTCGTAATGCCTCCCGCCTGGCTCTTTCAAGATGGAGGGGCAACCTGTGGGAGAGCCGACTCAAGTGGTGTCTAAATTCAAACCTTCCGCCAAGGTGGAGAGCACGGGACCCTGGCTGGAGGAAGATCATGCTCGAATATGGGAAGTGTTAAAGACAGAGGAGGTAAGACACCCTACATAACACAGACGGGACAATGATGGGTTTTCTTACACTTGAGACCATAATTCTCCGTGGACCCAGGACCACCGTCCAGCCTGGAAAACAGTAAGTCAGGGTTAGGCCCCTTGGACAGTAATAACCCAGAGGGATTCAGCCAAAGCAGGTAGCCCTGACAGCGAGGCCTTAAGCTGTACAAGTTGATGTTTTCCTTGTGGAATCCTGCCAAACCTAATTGGGAACCCATGGGGAGAAAGTTGATGAGCAAGGATTAATCATAACAAGTGGAATTATGTAAACTCATTGTTTGACAGCTACATGTATCAGGACTCTTTGGTTGCAAGCGACATAGATCGACTCTGACTAATTTATGGAAAATGGGAAATTCTTGGAGGATGGTGGGAGGCTCACATAACTGATAGGAAGTTTGGAAAACTAGGCTTGAAAATAGGGCAGGAACCGTGTCCGTAGAGTCTACTCAGGGCGCTACCCTGGTGTAAATCCCAAACTGCTCCCCACTCTCTCCTTATTCTCACATTTCTCTGCTCAAGATGCAAAGCCGTGGGAGCGAGGGGCTCACTGCCAAGCTTAGTCATGTGTATTTCTTTTCTGTAAAGAGGGAAAGATGCTGTCATGAGGAATTATTATACCCAAGTCCTCATAGCCCTTGTGTTTAGAGTCCAAATCTCATTTTTTTAATATAACATGTTTCTAAGATTTTTAAGATTCAGCCAATTAATATATATATTAGTAACTCATTAATTTTCATTGTTATTTTAATGGTATGTCAATTATTTACATTTTTTGCTATTATAAACCATGCCATTATGAATGTATTTATTATATATGTCTTGTGCACCAGTGTTAGAGTGTCCCATGTGTTAGAGTTTTTCGTACCTATTAGGTGAATTTTTGAGTTATGTATGTAGAAGTTCTATTTTACAAGTTATTGTCATATTGTTTTTCAAAATGGTACCAATTTATACTCCCACCAACAGTGCATAAATTTTCCCTGTTTCATAGCCTTGTCAACTTTTGGAGTTGTCAGATTTCTTAATTTTTCTAATCTAGTTGGTATCAAATAGAATCTTATTCTTTGCTCATCAGTTCTTTTTTCATTTTCACTCCTTCTCAGATAATTTTTTCTGTTTCCTTTAGAATTTACATTTCTACTGCTCTAACTGTAGCAAAAGTCTTTTCCTTTTTTTTTTTTTTGTTTGAAAATGCCTTTATGTTGAGCCTACTCTTAGAATGACAGTTTACCTGGGTATAGAATTCTAGATTACTTTCTCTTAGTATATTGAACATACTCCATTGTTTGCCTTCCACTTCTTCTGTTGTAAATTAGCTGAAAGTCTAACTTCATTCCATTGAATGTAATGCCTTTTCTCTCTAATTATTTAGATCTAGTCCACATTTTTGCTGCTTTGCAGTTTTATTCTTCTATGTTTATGTGTGAGTTTCTTTTTATGTAACCTCTTAGAATTCATAGGACCTCCCAAATATAAGGATTGGCATCTTTCATTAGCCTGGAAACATCTCTGTAATCTTTTCAAATGATTACTTTGGCTTTTTATTTTTTCCTTCTATAACTCCAAAAAGATTTATGTTTGCTTTTCTCACTCTTTGCTCATATTCCTTAAATTCTCCTTCAGATTTATCTTTTTTCCTCTCTGTATTGCCTTTTGATTAAATTTAGATATATCTTCCAAATTCACTAATTCTTTCTTCAGTTGCATCTAATCTGTCCTTTAATCAACCAAGGAGCCTTGAATTTCAACTATATTTTTTACTTCTAGAAGTTCTGTTTTCTTTTAAAATCTTCTAGTCATTTTTCTCCTCATGCTTTTAATTCATATTTTTATTTTTTAAGACTATCAAGAACTGTGAAGGGTTTGAAATTTTATGCTAGTTGCAAATTAGCTTGCCACAGTTGTGTAAATGCTGAGAGAAGACATGAGACTCTTGTATCAGAGACAAAAGACTTTATTACTCACAGAAGAAGTAGCCAGAGTGTCAGCATGTTTGTGTTGGTTCCCTGTATCCCAGTTCCTAGAGGAGAGACACAGATAGCTAGCTGCCTGCACACAAGGGGATCACTGACTTTTGCAAACATGCCAGTTTATAGCAGGCAGAGAGCAAGGCTACACGTTCTCCTAGTGGGAGACAGTACCTTATCCTGTAAGGTTACTTGCTGCAAACACAGGCCTGAAAGATGGCCTGGGTAAAGATGAGCTAGGCCTCCACTTTTTGGCATACAAGGCAAGATATGCAGGAACAAGATAGACTCACAGAGGAGTGTTTCTCAACAGTATTAAATATAATGGTTTTCTATTCTGAGTTGGCAATTCGAACAGCTATGAATTTTATTCTAGTATCTGTTCTTTCTGTTGGCTCTTGCACATGATATTATGTTTCTTTGTGAGTTTATGATTTTTGACTGTGGTTTACTATGGAGGGGAAGCACAAATAGAATTTTGGTAGGTAGTTTAAAAAGTGTTAACAAAAACCAAAACTTTAGTTTACTTGGTTTGGTCAATGTCCTCTAAATGGAAGCTGACTTTGATGCTTATTGCTAGGTTTTGCTTTCCTATAGGTTTTGACTTTAAAAGTTTTAAATTTTTTTGCCAGCTCATCAATATATTTAAAAAGGTATTTTAGTTTTATTTTATCAAGCATTTTTTTTTTTACTTAGTTTTAGAGGGAGAGTTAATTAGGATATTCAGTCCACTATATTGCTAGAAATGTTAGTCTTACACTCTTCTATGAGTTATTTAAATAAAGTGTGATCTTAAATTTTTAAAATGTTTCTTAAACTTACTTAAAAATTATTTTATTTGTTCATCTAGATAATGTTGAGTCTTTATTATTGTTGACCAGGTTTAGTTACATATCTTCCTATACATGAATATTCATAGTTGACTTAAAATTATTTACAAATTTAGTGTAGCACAGATAAGTCTGTCAAGTATATTGGAAATTAAAATATTTTATCTTTAGTGTAGTGATTAATTTTTAACTATTGTAAATAGATCCTTAAAATAGGGATATTTAATTTTTAAATTATAAATAATACCTGCATATAGTAGAAAATAATGAAAACTTTATAGAATGGTCAAGTATTAAAAATAAGTTTCTTTTTAAAATCTCAGTATCTTTTAATTTTTAAAGTGAGCAAGGGAGCAGTGAGGAGATTGGATATGTTTTAATGGTGATAAAAAGTTCTATCTTTTGGCCCTGAGAGTTGTGGCTCAGTGGACTGAGTGCCGGCCTGTGAACTGAAAGGTTGCCGGTTCAGTTCCCAATTGGGGCACATGCCCGGGTTGTGGCCCAGGTTCCCACTTGAGGGTGTGCAAGAGGCAACTGATCGATGTATCTCTTGCTCATCATCGATATTTCTCTCCCTCCCTTTCTCCTTCCCTTCCTCTTTCTCTAAAAATAAATAAAATCTTAAATTAAAAAATGTTCTTTTGATTGTCAGGTGGTTACACGGGTGTACGTACACTTAAAATGGACACATTTTATTAGATGTCAGTTATGCCTCAATAAAACTGATCTTAAAAAATGGGCCACTGGGTAGGGGAACAGAGGTAAGTTAAGCCCGTACCTGCAATGCAATGCGATGAGCGCTGTAGTAACCGTGCGTGCAGGTGCTCCGAGAGCCCGGAGCGTGGTGCTGTCGCCCAGCGTGGGCGTGTGCGTGTAGATGTGGGTGTCAGGGAGGAAAGCTTCCCCGCGGGGTGACACTTGAGGTCACTTTTAAAGGAAATGTAGAAATGAGCAGAGTAAATGGGATTTTAGAAGGGGAACCAGAGCCAATACTCCCGGAAGACGGAAAACTGTGCAGAGCAGTGTGAGAGAATGTCCCGCAGTTTGGGGCGGCTGGAGCGGCGGGGACGACCGGAGTGGAGCCGAGAGGAGCAGGTGATGAAGAAGTCTAATGCGCCCCACTCAGGAACTCAGAAACGGTCCTGTGGGCCTGGGGAGGGCCCATGAAGGGTGGTAGGTGAGGGTCGCGACCTGGCCAGATCCGTGTGTTAGAAATGCTACTCTGTCAGTCCCGTAAAGGATGGCCTGGGATACTTCAAAACTGCCATAGTCCACTGTGGTCTCTCTCTTTGTCTGCACCGTGCTAGTCAAAGCTCAGCTGCAGATCACGTGGGGTCCCTCTTTTTTTCATGATGGGAAAGCTCTCTTTGGCTACGCTGGCTGTCCTTGCGACCACGGCTGTTAGTTTCCATTGTGTTTCACTTGTAAACCCTAAAGCAGTATGTCAATACTACTGCACACAGGTTGAAACAAATACCTGATGATTGATTGATGAGTCATTTGCATAGTAATTATGTACTCATGTAATCGTAATTTCATGGTAATATGTTGTTTTTCTAAATTGTAACACCAACCAAAATATTGCCACTTTCGGGTACAAAGGTGACTCATTTGGTCCACCCCTGGGGAGCACCAAGGGGCAGTGATTGTTGCTGACTGAATTTGCACCGAGTCATCCACAGTGCGCTGCACTTCTCTGCCTCCAGTGTTTTCCATTTGCGAGAAGGTTGCCAAGATAAGCAATGTTCTCCACGGCTGTGGAACAGAGATATCTCTGTGTAAAATGAAACTAGTGAATGGAGACGGGACATATGACCTCTCTTTCTCCCTCCAGCTCAGGAATGGGCCCCACGTTGTAACATCCCATTCTTGGAGGAGGAAATAGTAATGTGTTCATCATGCATGCTTTGGAGATTAAATCATACGCATCTGAGGCACAGGAAGATGGAGACTTAAAAAAAACTGGATGACAGTTTGGACAAGCAGTGGGAGTGTATTGTGCTAATCTTCGAAGAGTCAGCTCTTGGGTGAATTTAAAGGCTGGGGTTGGTGACACAGGGGTTTTTCTTTGTGATTCTGAATGAATTTCTTTTTCTTTCTGCCACAAATGTTAATATGAGGCAAAGGGATAGAAATGTCCTGCCTTGGAAGTTATTAATATATAAAAATGCTTTGAA